GTTGATTTTTCCACTGATGGCTCTACTGAAACTTAACTATATTACTCTTTGCCGACTGAAGATGAGGGACTTCCAGTTCTTCTTGTCTTCCCATAGAGAAACCTATGGAAGCTGTAGCATTCGATCAGCCAATACCTCCTGGTGGGCTATTTATTACCCACGGGGTAGCGTCTCCTTTTTCAAACGAAGGAGGAGTGTAGTGACGACTCCCGTACGTTCGTATCCCCGATCTACGCAGGAGGACATGACCTCAAGGTCAGCTCATCTGCATAACCCACAGCCGGGTGTGCTGCACAGCCGACCAGGGGTACCTGGTGAGATTAGTCACTCGTACACTAGACCTTATGCTGAGAGCATCGTTTACCTTACTACAGGATTCGTTTAGGTGTATCTGGTGTCCGGGTCTGTTATACAAGGTATATACCGAACTATACACGGTGTGTACTATATTGTGTTTATATATTGGAGTATTGTCGCCCTAGGAATACATCCTATTGGATAAAGGTAAGCTCCACTCGGTACCTTTTATATCACAGTATCTATATATATAGGCGATAATTACTACAATACACATGGTGCAATGCGCTAATTAATACAATATCACACACCCACACATACACACAAAAACCCAAAGTGGTTATGCCATAGTGAGGTAAGATTATGCTTACTCCAAGATGTAGTGGATTGAGATAGTGAGAGTTATTTTTAAGGTTAGGGTACTGTAGGCCTAAAGCCAAGTCGACCAATCAGCACGTTGGGATTTCGATCATTTATTTATTTTATTTTTATTTATTTATTCGGTATGAATATTTAGAAACAACAAAAATATTGATAAACTCCAAGTTTACAATAATTAATAGACAATTAAAAAAATCAAAATACAATTAGATAATAATAATAACAATCTATAAAATGTCATATGTACATATTAGATAAAAATTATGGATGCAAACAAGCACCCCAACAATAAAAATAAGTAAAAAAAAAATAATCTGAAAATACATGAATAAAGACGAAAAAAAAAAAAATTTAAAAAAATTGATTGCCAAGTGTTTCCAAAGTGTTCAGTCGAGCTCATTAAGTAACCTAGTAAGCACTGGAATTGTTGACTTTGCATAACGTGAAGTTTTGCATCGTGGTTCCAGTCTAAGCTCCCTGTTGACATAATTAGAGTTCAACGGAAATAGTGACGAAAAGCGCTCAGAGGAAATCATTTTATGTCCAAACTAAAGGAGACAGGCTTCACGCTCGAGCTGATGAGATTGCCCTTTGGTAATTGATCTATGCCAGAGAGGACTTGCATATTCCAATCATTTCGGCGTAAGCTTAGCCACGGCCAAAAAAACCTAGACTACAGTAATATTATAATAAGGTTAGGGTCAAGCCAACTGCACTAATCAACAACTCGGATTTGTGTAAAAATATCAGCAGCATTGGCAAAATATCCATAGCCAGTATTTAATTATTAATTTTTAGACCTAAAGTAGCCTATGGTTTTTAGAGGCCTAGGCAGTAGTTATTATTTTGGCAGTGACTATTTTGTTACACCATTTAGTTATGTATGCACATTAATCTGTTTTTGTAACCTTGGAATTTTCTGTTTCATAAATTTAATGAAAAAAAAAACCCATCAGTGTATATCATTCATTAATATTACCTTTTTGCTTTTTCCAGATTGTTGGACCTGACAATCGAGTGGTGTATGAGGGTGAAAGAGAGTCAAATGGGAAATACACGTTTGCCGCTCATATGGATGGTGTTTATAGATATTGTTTTAGCAATAAGATGTCTTCTATGACACCAAAGATTGTAATGTTTTCTATGGAGGTTGGTGATGCACCTAAAGTTATGGATACTGGAGGTAAACTTACTAAGGATTGGAGTATGATAAATGTTTAATTGTATGCAAGAAGGTTGTCACCCAGTGGCGGTACCAGCTGGGGGCGGGGGAGTCGGGCTTTGTCGGACAGGTATAAACCCTGTCGTCCGACACCATTGTGCGGGTATTGGACTAATTATTACTTCTGCCAATCTATACATTATTGTGATTGATAATACCTAATAATATTGTGAACTAAGGGCACAATTTTGGGCTTCCTAAGCCATATATTACTACATAAACCCAACCAGTCCACAACTGAGGCTCTAGCTGGCCCTGTCCTTGGTATTAGTAGGTTTAATGAGGTACCCTGTGTAGTAGGTTAAATGAGGGCTTTAGTTTTTTTTAATAGCCTAGTTTAAGACTTCATTTCAACCACACCTGATGGGGCTAAGGTAAGTGTTGATTAAAAACAATCTGAAATGTTTCAACCCCCCCCCCCCCCCCCACATTGGAAAATCTTCCCTGGGTTAAATTAAAAAAAATAATTATTTGTAAGTTTATTCATCTTGTATTTAAAAGTGATTAATGTTGTTTTGTTTAAATTGACTACAGAAGATCACACTAAACTTGAAGAAATGACCAATCAGTTAGCAACAGGACTTACTGGAATTCTACATGAACTGCAGTACATGCAAGTTAGAGAAAGGGTCCACAGAGCAAGTGAGTATTGCATTCTATGAATATCCAATAAGTATGTTCAGTATTTTTGCTAAGAAAGTAGCTGTATTAGTCTTTAAAAATACAAAGATAAAGCAGGATGATGAGAATGATTATTCCACAAGCTGTCCCCACTAGTAATTTTGTTTTATTATTTTTGTATTGTGTTATATTAACTGCAAATAATATTGAAGTACAAGTTGGAGAACGGGTTCACAGTGACATGATTGTGGTGATGATAAATGACATGATTATGATTATGGTACAGTGAAATGGTTGTGATTTGAGTTACATGATTATGATTACAGTGTCATGATTATGATTACAGTGTCATGATTATGATTACAGTGTCATGATTATGATTACAGTGACATGATTATGATTACAGTGACATGATTGGGATTAGGCTTACAGTGACATGATTGGGATTAGGCTTACAGTGACATGATTATGATTAGGTTTTAACTTGAGTACCGTTTAAGAGTGTGCGTTCTTTAACAATTGAAGACCTATCTCTTCAATCATCTTTAACTTGGTTTATTCATATTTATATTTTAAAATTTGTTGAAATTGAACATGAATTAGTGATGTGATAAGGGTGAAAGCCCGAATCATAAGAATTTCTAAGTTACATTATTATTATGATTATTGTTTTGCTCAAAGTGTTAAATAAATATATATATTTTTTTCTTTACAGTTAATGATAACACCAATTCAAGAGTAGTTTTATGGTCATTTTTCGAAAGTTTAGTACTTGTTGCCATGACACTGGGACAAGTTTATTATCTGAAGCGATTCTTTGAAGTCAGAAGGGTAGTTTAAAGGGTCGAATCAGGTAGTTGAGAACAGTGTTTGTTTTATTTCACAATTGTTAACCCCATACCATCAGAAACCTTTATCAGATATGTTTATCAGATATGATATATTGAAATGTTAGAGTAATTAATTCCTAAAGGTATCTTTTTCTTCTGTCATGATTCTACAGTTTTATTTTATAGAGTTATTTGTTTTTTTTTTTTTTTT